AGTGAGCCTCCCTCCTCAGCCTCCCAGAGTGCTAGGATTATTGGCGTGAGCCACTGCACCCAGCCTATCCCACTGGTATCCCATAGTTGAACAACAGCATAATGTACACAAAGAATGTGAGTCAACAGATTGTTGTCACACTGGGTGAGGGTCTCTGGTACAAGTTTCTGTCCCTGACCCTGTCCTGTTTATTGTTTTCATTGATGACTGGGATGGTACCCACTCTGCAATGTGCATAGAGTTAATAATATTGTGTTGTACAACTAAACATTGGATAAGAGGGTAGATTTCATGTTGTGTGTTTTTTACCATAATTAACAAAAAAGAAAGAATACCCACTCTGAGTCAGAGACACCTAACTTTCACATCTCACCTCTGCCACTGACTACATGTGTGAACATGGGCAAGTTAACGTTCTTCTCTTAACTTTCGTTTCATCATCTATAAATGGGGGTAATTATACAGACCTCAAAGGAGTGTTATGAAGAGTAAATGAGCTACGGCCTGTAAAATGCTTACCACAGTGCACAGAACACGTTAAGCCCTTAAAAATACTGGATATTTCCTCTATTATTATCACCACACATGCTATATTTATTAATTTGGCAGCTGAGATAATTCTGGGAAAGAAAGGTATTGAGTTAGATTAAAGAATCAAGGTTCAAAAAGCTTTTCCCAGATAGGATTTAATAGGTTGAATCAAACAGGATAAAATTTAGTATGGACAAGTGAATGTACTGCATTTAGGCTGAAAAATCCAACTACACAAAAATAAACTTTTAGATCAACTGTAGCTCATAGGAAAAGAGGCATTTATTTATTTGACTAAACATAGTTAGGAAGAAAATTATTCTTCAAAAAAATATTTTTATTTCATTACATGTTTAATGTAAAAATGCAAATACAGTCATACACTCCATAACGATGTTTTAATGAATGACAGGCCACATTTATGATGGTGGTCCCACAGATCATAACAAAGCTGAAAAATTCCTATTGCCTTAGTGACAGAGCCATCATAATGTCATTGCACAATGCATTATTCACGTGTTTGTGGTGAAGCTGGTGTAAACACACCTAGTGTGCTGCCAGTTGTAGAAAAGTATAGGACATATGATCATGTACAGTACTTAATACTAGATAATAAACGGTTACTGGTTTATGTATTTCCTATACTATACCTTTTATTATTATTTTAGAGTGTACTCCTTTTACTTACAAAAATATTTAACTGCAAAACGGCCTCAGGCAGGTCCTTCAGGAGGTATCCAGAAGGCTTTGCTATCACAGGGGGATGGCAGCTCTATGCCTGTTGTTGTCCCTGAAGACCTTCCAGTGGGACAGATGTAGAGGCAGAAGACAGTGATATTGATGATCCTGACCCTGTGTAGGCCTAAGCTAATGTGTGCGTTCATGTCTCAGTTTTTAACATAAAATTTAAAAACTAAAAAGAAAAATTTCAATAGGAAAAATCTTACAGAATAACAATAGGAAGTGAGAAAATATCTTTGTACAGCTGTACTATGTATGTTTTAAGCTAAGTGCTATTACAAAAAAGTCAAAAAGTTAGAAAAAATTTACAAGTTTAAAAAGTAAAATAGTACAGTCAGCTAAGGGTAATTTATTATTGAAGAAAAAATACTTTTTTATAAATTTAGTGTAGCCTAAGTACACAGTGTTTATGAAGTCCACAGTAGTGTACAGTAGTGGCCTAGGCCTTCACATTCACTCACTCATTCAGACTCAACAAGTCAACAATTAAAAAACTATATAAAAGAGTCTGTGATTAAATGCTAAGTTCTTAGTCCCATTTATATGTATACATAAGTTGCATAAAAAGATCTTTAAGAGGTATCGTGCATGTTTTTTAAATTTACAAGTTGTTTTAGAAATGATAGAAATATAAGAAATTACATCTTGAAATAAATACATTTTCTAAAATTCAGTGCAAATTTATAGCACAATTGCTCTCAAAGTAACCTAATTTTAGGTCCTGCAACAAGTGAAAAATGACTACCATGGACAAGATGATAAACTTCTCTAAGGTTAGCAGCATTTAAAGTCACCAGCTGTAAAAAGAAAATTCAATCAGACTTTCAATGTGTTTTTCAGGTTCTTTCTATTCTATCGACAATCTAAATTATTAAACTTTAAGAATGATAAAAAGCACAGAAAGATTCTGTGGAGTTCCAGAAAGCTCACACCACATGGACAGGAATTAGAGGTGGGGATGAAATAGTGGCTGGATGAGTGGAAGGACGGGATGGGGGGAGACGAGAACCCTCTAGGTGAACCCTTGGAAGTTCACAGGCGAGTTCACAGTGTGCTCCTGCATAAAAAGGCTGAGAAACCTAAATTTAAATCCACCCAGTGTTATTGGATATTTGTGACTTTGAGGTCTGTGCTCCAAGACCCGGGTCGCCAACCTTGATCTACAACGTTTACAAAGAGGTGTGAGTTAGTGAACAGAACGCTGGATTAGAAGTCTGTATTTTTCTGACTTCCAAGAGCCTGTGAACAACAACAAAACAAAACAGGAAAGAAAAGACTGATTTAGCTGCATGGGAAATAGCTGGCCTCATTCTGATTTGAGGTCAGATTATTTGTTTCAACAAATTCATACGTTGAAACCTAACCCCTAAGGTGATGGTATTAAGAGGTGGGACCTTTGGGTGGTGACTAGGTTATGAGAGTAAAGCCCTGGCAAATGGTATTTGTGCCCTTATAAAAGAGGCTCAAGAGAGCTCCCCAGCCCCTTCTGATATGCAAGGACACACAGAAGGAACCATCTGAGGAACAGGCCATCACCAGATACTTCATCAGCTGGCACCTTGATCGTAGACTTCTAGCCTCTAGAACTATGACCAATAAATTTCTGTTGCTTATAAATTACCTAGTCTAAGCTATTTTGTTAAAGCAGCCTGAATGAAGTAAGACAGTGTTTCAGTGGGTGAAAGCAAAACTACATATTTTCAGAAGTTATTTATGACTCCTTTTCCATTATGAGCAAGGTACTTTATTTGGCATTCGAATAAGTAGGCACTGACGGACACTCCCCATGGATGTCAAAATATTTGTTGCATAATTGCTTCAAGTTCATACAAGGTCTTCCATACCACAGAAATTCTGTTGAAATTTCTATTCACCCTGGGATGTTATTTGTTGATACTGATTTCAATATGCTTACCTCACTGAGTTATATACCAGAATACAGAGCCTGCCTTTAAAATTGTGAGGCTGGCATCCTCTAAGTTGTATCTTTTTTCTTGTGTCCTGATACCAGGGACCTCATGCTACTATCCAGCTGGCCCTAAGCCTCTTTCCTTCTGCTGTCCACAATCCTCTGAAGTATGTGCTTTATAATGATTTCAGTGCCGTGACACTTTGAAATGATTTCTTTTCTCACTGCACCATTGCATAATGGAACCTCCTATCACCTAACTTGCGTGATTTCTGCAGGAGAGACAGCAAGATGGCAAATGAAATCAAAGGAATTCATGCTAGGGTGTGGACCAAAGGTTAAAATGTTTCCCGTCTCTCCTTCTCCCCTACTCCCACACAGGCACATGGTAACTCTCCTCCAGATACCCACTGTTTAAGTGGAGGAATGAATCAATACCTGACATCCAGAAACACAACTAGGTAATTAGTGAAAGGTGAGGCACAGTGAGGAGGTGGAAAATTCTGGGCAGTAGGTGGGGTGGGAAGCCTCTCTGATGCCATCAAATTGCACGGCTGGCACTAAAGCTTCTCCATGTCAGTGTCACCCAGTTGCAGCTCTCCAGCGAGTACATCAGGCCACTTTCAAAGACATTGCTTCTGCGGGGGGCTCTATGGGGGGCGGGGTAGATTAAAGGTGAAAAAGCTACCCACAGTGTAGGGCTCTTTTATGTTTGGTGTCTGAAGCGCTCAGAACGCTTTATAATTACTATCCTATTGAATGTGTTTAGCACAATTAAATCCCTTTATAATTAAAACCAATGATCAGCGGGCATTAAAGCTACCCACTCTCTACATGCTACACTGTCCGCTGTCCGCAGTTGGGCTGTAGGGCCTCCCTCCTTGTCTCTTGCGTCTCTAACCTGGTTACAATTGTCATTTTTACTCTTCCTGGATGGGCAGAGCATGTTTCTCTGTCGTTTCTCTTTCTCTGAGGTGTGAGGCGTGTTTATTTTTGCCTGAGTTGAAAATGGCTTCCGAGATTTAATGCCTTTCTCTAATTCCCTGACATTTCCACTTAGAATTACTCTTGTGTCCATGGCCAGGCTGAAAGACATATTTGTTCGTGTTCTAAAGTTCCGAAGGTGGGCCTGGCGCTCTTCTCTGCCATTTACTGAGAAGGCGGGGGCCAAGGCTGCATGAGGGGCCTGCCCAAAGCTGGGGTCCCCAGCCCTCCCCGCGTGGCGTTAGAGTAACGGAGGCGGTCTGGATTCCGCCCTAGGGGAGCTGGGTCCTGTGACTGGGGCCAGGCTTCCTGCCCGACGTGCGGTAGCAAGCCAGGTCCTCTGTACCCGACCCCCGCAGCAGCCAGCCTCTTGGGGTGGGTCTGAAGCTGAGCCCCCCAACCTCAGTAATTACTTGCAGCTTTGGGTGCTGGTTGGGGGGCTCACCTCTTCGGGAGTGGAGCGGGCCTGGGCAAGACTCTGGAAGGCGAGGAGCTCGGGCACGCGAGGGGGGTGTCGGGAGCCGAGCTGGAGGTGAGCCTGGGCGTTGTGGGGTGGCCCAGAGGAGGTGGGAACCGGGCTGGAGGTGAATCCAAGGGGTCGAGGGGGAACAGAGTGAGTGGGGACCCGGTTGCCGGCGAGCCGGGCTGCGCGGCGGGTACGCTGCTGAAGCCGCCAGCCCGCAGAGGGGACCAGGGAGAGGGGCGGGCCAGGCAGGGGCGTGGCTTCAGGGGCGGGTCCGGCAGGGGAAGTGGGCGGGGCGCCGCCGGGAAGGGGGCGGGCCGGGGGAGTCGCGGGCCGGAGACTCGGCGGGCGGACGGGCGCGTGGCTGCTGCGGCGCGATGAGTGGGGCGCGGGCGGCGCCAGGGGCAGCGGGCGAGGGCGCAGCCCGGGGGCTGCGCGTGGACGGGCTGCCCCCGCTGCCCAAGAGCCTGAGCGGGCTGCTGCACTCGGCGTCGGGCGGCGGCACGGCTGGGGGCTGGCGGCACCTGGAGCGGCTGTACGCGCAGAAGTCGCGCATCCAGGACGAGCTGAGCCGCGGGGGCGCGGGCGGCGGCCGGGGCCGGGCTGCGGCGGGGCCCGCCAAGCCCCCCAACCTGGACGCCGCCCTGGCGCTGCTCCGCAAGGAGATGGTGAGCAGGCTCGGCGGGCGGGAGGCGGGGTTCTCGCAGTCCGGGCTCGCGGTCCCGGGAAAGTTCGGGGACCCGTGCTCTGCTCCGGAAGTCCGCGCGCCCACACCCCCTCTCTGGCCCCTGGTCCCCGGCTCTGGCGCCGTCCTCTTGGCTGCCCCTGCCCTTGCCCTCCCTGTGCTCACGACTGTACCCTCACCTGGCGGGGGGGTCTCCGCTCTCGGAGGGCAACTTTCCGTACCCCCGCGCCCTCGGTCGGGCCCCAGCTGGCTCGGAAGCCCTGGCGCATCCGGAGGCGCGGTGTGGGGTTCGCGCTTGGTGAGGTTCACGCTTGGCGGGGGCGGCTTTGTCACCCCTCCCCGAGGTAGTACAGACCTCCCCGGTGCAGGAAAGACTTTCGCTGCGCCCAGGGGTTAAGAGCTGTGAGCGATTGTGTTTTCCTGCCCTGAGGAGGACGGCTTTTTGTCCGCCGCGAGTGTAGACAGCACATTGGAACGGCCTGGGCCCCTCCCCCCGCGCCCCAGTCCGCGCGTCCAGAATCCGATTACGGCGGAGCGGCCCCGGCGCGCAGATGGCGAGAAAGCGGACGTGCCCCGGTGCGCGGGAGGCGGCCCTGGCCCCTCTCAGCCCAGTAAAACGGATCGCCCAAACCCGCTTCAGGAAAATGGGGGGTGGCTGTCCTCCCCGTCTGCGTGAAGTCCATGCGAGTTCTCCGGGTCTGTCTGAGCTCCGAACAATGGGGCTTAGTTTTTCTAGGTCCCCGTGAAGTACTTTAGGTGTTTGTGGACTGGGACACACTATGTAGGGTGACGCTAAAAGTAGGACAAAAGCAGGAATTTAGGCGACAGCAGCTTTCCCCTCGCTTTCTCTGCCAAGCATAGGCCAGGCCAGAAGAACACAAAAAAGCTTACTCCTTTCTAATCCTCTCGCTGGCCCCTGATCACAAATAAATCTAGTGCATTTAAGATATTGTTTAGAAAAAAATCAGTTTATACATACTTTTTTCAGGAGCATATCTGTTCTGAAAACTAAGACTTAATTGAATCCAGAAAGCTGCCTTAACGCTTTTTAATCAATGAGATATTGTCTTCCCACTCTGTAGCTGTCATTGAAGTGATTTCCAATTCTCTCTGAAAAGATTTTCTAAAGCTTCTTACAGACAGAACCACTTGCATTCCAAGCCAACCCTTTGTATTTATTAATAAGCGTTTATTGACATGAACATGGCATAGCTGCTTTAACTTAGGTAAATCTACACCAAGTTTGTTTACAGTCTAAACTTGGACATAGCATAAACATGAGTGAAAAGGAAGACTATCTCTGGTTGTTTAAGGTCTGTACTTGAACAAGAGACAGGAAAACCTCCTGGCCACTCCTGTTGTGAAGCTCTGGTTTATCAACATGCTCTGGAGTCTTGCTGTGTGGCTTGGGAGTCAACGTGCCATTCCCAGAAGTATTTTTCCAGGTCCCTCCTGGTGTGACTGAAGTACAGCCACAGTCTTCTTTATAATTATGTCTTGGACCAGAGCTCTCTCCAAGCCTATTTGAAGCACAAGGAAAATAAACAGCCATCTTTGGTCTGCCTGATGTTTAGCTGAGATAAAGATAAGATATGGCTACAGGCCTTGATAAGCCCCTTTCAAGAAATGTCACAAGGTCTTTGAAAGTACTCTGGTCTTTTGGCCTTTTAAGTGACTTACTAATGGAGCATTGGGGTCTCAATGGGCAACTCCAGCCGCTCCCCTGGGGAGGCCGGCAGAGTAAGAGCTGGGAGTTCATTCCTCAGTTATCTGGATAGTTTGTGTTGATCTGTTTAATTTGAAGGCCTGGGGTCAAATCTGTGATAAGGGACATAGATAGATGTCATGGCAGAATGTGATAAATGCTGTTAAAAAAAAGGCCCTTGCAAGCACAGAAAGAGGGGCGACTTGCAGCAGGAATGATCTCGTGGAGCAGAAGACCTCTGAAGGTGACTGGAGTTTTCAGCAAGGGGAAAGGGCACTGGAAAGGTAGCCGCAAAGCTGGCTCCAGTGTGAAGTGTGAGTGAGATCGAGCTGGGCGGGTAGGCCAGGTGGGCTACAGAATGTCTAGGTAGCAAAGGAGGGGGCTTTCAGCAGGGAATTGGCATGGCCCCAGTTGGACCTGGAGGAAATGGATTTGATAGCAGGATGCGCGAGGGAGAGCTGGACTTCGGAGGCTGATCAGGAAGATGCTAGAGGGTGTGCGTGGGAATGGTGACAGAGCCCTCAGCGGGGTGGGGTCCTGCCCATGTGAAACAAGACACACATGGGAGACACTTTTCTGAAGCAGAAGCTGCAGAGATTGCTGATTAAATATTAGGGTCAGGGAAGATGGTAAAAAAGGAATCAAAGATGACTTAAGCTTTTTTATGAAAAATGCAATTAAACAAAACAATTAAAAATCACAATCCTGGCACCTAGAAATAATCACTGTTAATATTCTGGGATATTAGCCTGGCGTGGTGGCCCACGCCTGTAGTCCCGGCTACTCAGGAGGCTGAGACAGGAGGATCACTTGAGCCCAGGAGTTTGAGGTTCCTGTGAGCTGTGGTCACGCCACTGCACTCTAGCCAGGGTGACACAGCAAGACCTTGTCTCAAAAAAAAAAAAAATTCTGGGATTATCTCCTGTGTAGGTACAATGTAAATACTTTCCATATGGTGACTAATTTAAACCTTATAAATTTTCCATGAGACAGGTACTCAAAGTCTATTTTATATTTTTAAAAAGCAGATGCTCATAGTTTAACTGTAAGATCACAGACTCTACCAGGTCTATGTGGCTCCAAAACCCTATTTAACCATTGCACTCAACTGTCTGTGTGCACGCGCGCGCACACACACATGGATCCCATTATACCTTGTTTGCTTTTTGGGAGCACACATTTCAAACATTTTCCCAGTCAATGTATATTACTATGTCTTTAATGACTGCACAGTGTGCCATTGTGTGGCAATATTCAGTGACATTTTGAAGCTTGATAATCAATCACTGGGAAAGTGGGGTTCATCGCAGCGCATGGGGAGTCAGGAGTAGTGGCTGCATTGGGGAGGAAGGTGGTTTGCTATTACATCAGCGGAAGAGTATGTTAAACATTTCAGAATGTGGAGCTAGAGACTGGAAGAGAGATTGTGGCCTGGAGGTAAGGATGGCAGAGTGGTTGGAGCTAAGGGAGCCCTGCAATCTCTAGGGGAGGAGATAACATAGGGACCCCCCGGGTGGAGCCTGGGGGTGCTGGTCTCGGGGCTGAGGGGGAAGGGGGAGTTCTTGGGAGCAGGGGGAGCCCTAGTGGGCAGAGGGTTCTGGCCCATGATTGGTGATGCCCTGCTCTGCCGGCGAGTTGTGGTTTTAACTCCCAAGTTTCAACACCTGTTCTAATAACCCCCATCTGCAAAATCTGCCCACTGTGAGTCCTTGTCCTCTCCCCAGAGGGTCCATTTGGAAAGCTGCAAGGGTCACGTGGATGGCTGTTGAGCCATAGACCAAAAAGGCCTTTTAAAAAAGTAGTTGATGATCATTATTATTTTTACATCAGAGAATATTTTTAGATCACATTTAACAGATGTTTACTGGATGTATGTTAGGTATAAAGTGCTGTGGAGGATATAAGGACAAATAAGAAATATCTAGATGTTAAGGAGCTAGGAGATGCGGGCATCATTGCAGCAATGTGATTGTTTTAGTTTAGACTAGTCCTTGATTTTTCAAGACCAGAGTCTCCGTATTAGTAATAGAAACTCAGTCTGAACTAGCTTTTGCAAAAGTAGACTCTTGTTAAAGGGCTAGATGTATATCGAGACAGACTAGAACCAGGGCATATGGGGAACCTAGGAAGTCCACTGAGGTCTTCTCTCCTCCCCTGCCATTTTGGATTTTTTTCATTCATTTTGGAACCTGGCCACTAACAGTGTCCACACTCAGTTGGCCATGCTTCTTAGTTGCAGTTGGCAAATTCTGTGGAAGGACGCCAGTTGGCCCAGCTTGGATAGCCTGGCCAGCCTGGGTCAGCTAATAGTGATGAGGACAGGATTGCATTTTATTAATATTAAGATGGCTTGGGGGTCTGGGTATCCCCCAAAGAAAGGACAGTTTGCAGAAGTGGAGCAGGTGGCTGCTGGACTGCCAAAATACTAGATGTCTATCGCAGAACCCTTTCTATTTAAAAATACTTTGCCCTCAAGGCAATAGTCTGGAAGATTTTTATCTGCTAAACCAACGGTTAGCTTTGCTAAGTAGATCTCTGTTGGCTTTTAAAATATTTGCACGTGGTTGAAGGATGCCTTTGATCCAGTGTCAGCTGGGACCCCTGGTGTACACCATTCCTTGCATGGATTTCTACGTAGACCACGCTGCCCGGCAGCTCTGGGAGGTTAGGTCGTCAACCTCACAGGCTGTCCAAAACAGTCATAGGAGAGTATAGGGACACAGAGACCCTCAGCCCTGGGGGAAGGAGATCTATAAGGAGCAGCATCCCGGGGATTCTTGGGTTCTACTTTTCCCACTATGAGTAGTGAGTTCTAGGAGCTTTACTTGGAATCTCATTGCCCCATTTTTTCTTTAAACGATCAATCAGCTATTTTGGTCTCCTACCTGTGCAGAGTGGAAAGTCATCCACGCAGAACTTTTGAACTCCTGAACTGCAGTGGTCTGGTGAAGAATTGAATCTAAGAAAAAAAAGGTTAATGTCTGAAAGCAGTAACAATTAGCTTTCCCACATTTAAGTTGAAAGAACTAAATGCCCGATGAGCTTGTCCAGTGAACTGGATTCCAGGAGGTAAGCGTTGGCTCGCGTAGCCAGCACCCCAGGGGAGTGCAGTCCTCATCCTACAGTTGACACCAGCGTCCAACAGAGGAGGTTCTAGTCTTTAGAAGAGGTTATGGGAAAGGTCCAATCCTAAATCAAGCCACGAAGTGTGTTCTGGAATAGGAGTAGTAGCTCCCAGCGCAGCATTCTTGATTGGAGTTGCCAGAGGAGACTGGGAA